TTTTGTTTGGCTCTTGTGAAATTGAATTAAGAGGAAAAAACATTCAGTAAATCAGTGATCGAGCCCGAGGTTTAATAGTTTAAAAAACAAAAACAACAGGACAAAAGGACAACATAAAAAAGAAAAGGCAAAACACCCGAAACAGGACAACATGAACCATAACAACCAGAGATACGATCAGGTGTTCCACATTATTAAGTTAGCATTTCTACTCCACATGTGACACGAGGTCATGTCAAAAGGCATCCTAGTACATGTATTATTAGTAACTGCCATATAGAACTGTCAAATGATGACCAAAATTTAACAACTTATGAGAAGAGAGTCTTCAGCCTGGAATTGGTAAACCCTTGGTTGTGTTGAAGCTATTATTGGTTATTATAAAAAGATGAATGGCTTTATAGTAGAACATGCTCTTGGCTATCTTATCAACTGCAATGTGAAAACTCCAGACCCAAGAGATATACTGGAATGTTCCCACTGAAAAATGGGAAATTAACAAACAATGTAAACTTCATATGTTTATTTCTTTTTCTGTAAACGTCCGTGTACACAATTGTTTACAACACATCAAATTCAAGCTAGGGCTGTGACGGTTAGCAAAAAAGGTATTAACCGGATATACAGTAAAAGACGGCCAGGTCACAAAAACCACCAGACCAATCTCTGAACTAGTTGTGCTGCTCAGTGGTTAAATTGATTTGTGACAATTGTCAAACTGTGAACAATGTTTAATTAATATGTGAATCGCTTCCAGTTATTTGACACCATTGGTGGAAGTGGAATCTAACTCTACTTGAACTATTGAAAGTCGTATCTTTAGTTTACAAATTCCCAGTGACATTTTAGTTGTATAGCGATTGTCGGGTGCAATCAGATTGGGAGTGTCATGTTACAAAAAAGAACATTTATTTTAAGTAGTGATTTATTTGTAGAATACATAAATATTAAGTATTGAGTTCACCTCAGCAATTGTAATATGTATGTAGTACATCGATATGGTATTTTCCGGATTTATCTACCCGGTTGAGTAGGTTATTATTTTATACGCCTTTCCGGACATTACCGTCCGCAGTTTAGTATTGCCTCAGAGCTTTAGCAGACGCCAGTTTAGAAAGACATGGCACCACCATACATAGAAAGATTTTTTTTACATCTGTGGCAACGAATAGGGTAACTATTGACAAATATGTGTTACATGTTTCTTCTAGTCATTAATATTGAGAAATATTGTACATTTGTCATACACGACATGTCAAATTAAGTTGAATTTATCTAATTTCTCGTTCAGTGTTACTCTATCGTGTTAGAGTAAGGGTACGTGATTTCGTACAGGACGTGATTTCGTACACTTAATTTTATTTTTTTTATTTTTTAACCGATCACTTTCGATGGAGGCATAACATTGCTCCAACAGCAAACCACCGCTATTGTCCTTTGGTGATACTAAATATAGATTTCACAAATAACCTCGTTTTCAAAACGAAACCAACGAGTCGAGCTGTCGTCTGCAGAATGGGCCCAATGTAACTTTAAAGCATTATTTAAAACAGAATCTAGCCAATTTTCTTGTGATGACTTTGAGATCATTTTAATAAATCAATATTTTACCATTTGCATCAAGAAGATATCAAAAAGAAGCTCAAGTATAAGAAATACCAGCGTTTCTTTAACGTACACACCCTCTCAATGACAGGGCACCTATCGTAGGGAACAGTCATTATTTCGAAACTAATCTAAAATATTTGTTTGTTTTTGGCCTCAAAAACCTTCTGGAGCCTTGAATTTTTTTTATAAAACATCCAATGAAATAATTGCTACTAGAGAATGTTAGTTATCAATATAGTTCATATTTTTCCACAAAAGGGTCGATGTCACCACCAACAAAGGACACGTTTTTTCATAAATGAAAATCGGCAAATCTGAATGAAATATATTGAATTCATACAACATATACTTATATTCGCTTTATTTACTAAGAATAGCACATTTGTAGAGTGTACAAAATCACATCCCCAACTGCCGCGAAACGTGAAAGTAAATGATGGTAAAAGAAAGATCCCCTGCGCAGTAAATTTCTGCGCATATGACGTCACATTACCGAATATAGCGCAGATTGCATACATCTTTTAGGTCAAAGTAGATCCGATCTTCTTGGAGATGTATTTGTAAAAAAAATTATTTAAATCTGTTTCAAAAGTGTACGAAATCAGGTATCCTCACTCTAGTAAGAATGTGTGTTTGTATATTTGTTATATATATCCACAGATATTTTTTTCATGTATGCAGAACAAATTAGCTTTTGTAATTGTATAAAGGTCCATGTATAACGATACAAATTGGAGAATTTAATACTGGGTGCTGTATGTTGAATCAACATTACGCATCATTGTGCAAGGTATCCTGTCTTAATATGAGTTTATTGCATATAATACAATATAAACATGTCACTGTTTATATAATCCCATAGCCATGAGAAATTTCATGGCCATGATTGGTTTTCATTGTTTTTGCAGTTTAAAAATTCATGGCCATTACACATTGGTGGGTGGTGAAATAGTAATAATTAATTCAAAAAGTTAATGGGCCATTAATACTGCATGTTTTAATGGTTATTTCATGGCCATTAATGTGTTTCCACACCATTGATGGCCATTATATAATGCCATTAACAACCCATTAATTTACCCATGTGAATAATTGGGCATTAACCCACACCAGTGTTAATGCCCATTGATAAAGGTCATTACTAATGCTATGAAAGTAATGCCCATAATTAATCTCCAGTTAATGGCTATTAAATCAAGGTTTAATTAATGGATTGCCATTAATATACCCATTTAATGCTGCACGTTTTAATGGCTTATTAATTGGGTACTTTAATGAGTTTTTTAATGGGGATGTGGTCATGGGTTTTTAATGGGCAGTTAATGGTACACTGTTTGGTAATAAAAAGTTGACGCCGGACGGACGTCGGACGACAGACGCCGCACCATGGCAAAAGCTCACTTGCCCTTTGGGCAGGTGAGCTAAAAAGCAAAGGGATCGAAAAATCAACTAAGAGTACAGACAATGGCATTTCCATTGTCATTATACAATGTACCTGCATGCTGGGGATAAACTAGTCATCCCACTCGGTAACAATATTGATTCCCCTGATCCTGGCAATGCTACACACCAAATGAGGTTAAATTCCATTTAGTCATTCTGCACTAGTAGGCTTTTTCGGTGAAAAATAGGACAATGGATGGTGCACCACGGCATAAACTCATTTGCCCTAAGACAAGTGAGCTAGAAAATTTGTCAGTGTCGTAACTTCACTATTTTCGAAATCCCGAAGGGGCGAACAATCATTTAACATAAATTAAAGTTTTTGTTTTTTTCTTTGATATCAATCAATCAATAAATCACAAAAACTAAATTCTGTTACCAGTGTGTCCGGGTTTTAAATGCTGATATGATCGAACTAACTTTCATACCTTTGATGTAACTAATATCTTTTGACAGGGCGTTCAGAGTGTCCTTCATTGAGCTAGCATCCTCCTTCACGGCACCGACATCCTTCCATGCCCTGACATTCTCCTTCAATGTTTTGACATCTTTTTTCGTGTCATTGATATCCTCTTTGACTATGCTGAAATCATCTGAAGATATACAAGCAAGGCATAATAATTTCTATGCATGTCAGTAAATTGACTAACATAGGAAACGTTTATATATGATCCTAGAGTGATCTTGACACCAAGCATTGGAAGATCTTTAGTCGTTTGAAGTTTTTAAAATATTTGATGCTTGTGACCTTGAATACGATTCAAACCAAAGTTTTGTTTTAAGCATTGAACTGTTTTTGTATGGTATTTATGATCATACAAAAACAGTTCAATACTTATATTTACGTTTTCTCTGCCTCTTATGTTCTTTTTTAACTTATAATTTACAATTAAAATTAAAAATGCCCGCCTTATCGACAGTCCACACGATTTCGTTCAATAGTTTGAACAGCGTATTGTCGCGTGCTGATCGGCAAACAAAGTAGTACTTTGACATTTTAACAATTACGTACTTCAAATTTATTCCACAATTTAGTATCAATACAATTGCGTATGATATGTCTATAGGGTGATTCCAGTTTTTCAATAGAAATCTGAGCTGAAAGTAAGATTTGAAATTGTTTTGATTTTCCCCTGGAACAAATTTCGCGCATGGATAAATACAGTGAACACCGTGAATGGGACCTTAACCTCCACGAGGGAGTTATTTTTGGAAGTTAATTCAAACTTTTCTCTTTGCTCATTTTGTGAAGAATCCAGGCGTGAATGTATTTGTTGATTGTATGGGAACC